GGCCAAGATGCTTTTTGTCTTTTCATTTGAAATTTTGCTACTTTACATCTACCAATGCCAAGAGAGGCCGAACTTCCAATGTGGGATATCAAAATAGCCGAGTTTGTGTTTACAACTCTGATGGTGTAATCAAAACTCCAAATGCTCAAGAAACAATAACATTAGTGAGGTGAAGTCAACTCTAAATTAAAAGTCAGTGTTTCCATTACCCACTCTAACAGTGTTTTCAGGATTTTATATAACTTGATCATTAAAAAATGCTCTAGGCTGAAAACCTGGTCTGTGTCAATCTTGGACCAAACTAGTTTGCAAAGCTCTGAAGTTTGTTTGCCCTTCTCTTTTATCCATTTTCAAGAATGTATTACTTTTAAATGCTGCACATGAAACTAACCCAAAAAAAATCTCTAACACCCAATGAGCCAATGCTGTTGCATGCATCACTCATTTTTCAGAAGAAATTTATGACTTCTGTAAACCCACTTTCAAGGTGCTTATGGCTGGAAGTAAAGAGCTCAAATTCCTTTTCAAACTCAATCTTTAGTACATCCCTTCTCTCTTAGTTACTTCACCAGGAATACCAACATTTCAAATTGGAGCATTAACTTTTGTAGAAATAAACTTTAAATTAGAATCTAACCTGGTAGAAATAAAGTTTATCTCATGACTTTATTAGAATGGCTCTTCATGGAACGTCAAAAAACAAAAACAAAGGTAGGACAATACATTAGTTCTGGACATGTTCAAGTGATACTGCGTGAAGAATAACAATAGAGGGCAATGGTGCATGAATCAAAATATCTCTGAGACAGACATAGAAATGCATTGGTATGTAGAAGCCCAAATATTTAGGCTTTGAGGTTAGAAGAGGCAGGTATAACTCCCCAAGATTAAGTTACAAGGAATGCCCAGGAAGAGGCATGTCAGGAGGTTAGCTCTGACTGCACCTGAGATGCCTACACCTTCGCCACTGAGAAATTCAGACTTCTTCGCAATATTAATGTAGGAACCATCCAGAGTAGCTAAGTAATTTGAATCCTTGCCTTGGATTTAGAAGATAAAGGAAGAACTAACGTATGTGTGTGTGTGTTAAAATTTGTATGTCTTTCTGCCAGTGGTTCTCAACCTGTGGGTCCCAAACAATGAAAATACATCCTGCATATCAGATATTTACATTATGATTCATAACAGTAGCAAAATTACAGTTATGAAGTAGCAACGAAAATAATTTCATGGTTGGGGGTCACCACAACATGAGGAACTGTATTAAAGGGTCGCGGCATTAGAAAGGTTGAGAACCACTGGTTCTAGACCCTATAGGGGAGAACTTATACAGGTAAATACATTTATAAAGGTAAGAAAGGGAACATTGTTTTAATATTACTTACTAGAGGCCCAATGCACAAAATTTGTGCAAGAGTAGGCCTTCCTTCCCCCAGCTGCCGGCACCAGCTTCCCTCTGGCACCCAGGACCCGGGCTTCCCTCTGGCCACCAGCAGGCACCTGGGACCCGGGCTTCCCTCGCAGCCCCGGCTTTGTCCAGAAGGTCGTTTGGAAGGATGTCTGGAATGATGTCTGGTCTAATTAGCATATTATGCTTTTATGATTATAGATTACATTTTTTATTTTGACTCTTGTAGAATTGTGCAAAATCATCATTTTGAATAATAATATAAATACCTAGTCTCTCTGAATCAGAAGAAACTATGAATTTCACTTCCTAATATAGAAACTGCCAGTAAATCCTTTCTGCACTACCACTCAGCACCTAAAATTATTTGTAAAAGCAGGCAATATATATATTTATAAACTCAAATCTTAAAAATTTGATTATTTGAAATATACTTGTGATTCAATACTTCACAGTATTTCATGAGACGAGAAACTCATTATTTGTGAACTAGCCTTTCATTCAGACAACACTTAAGGTTCAAAATTCTTCCTTATAGTTCTGGGAATGACTTATTAAGAGACTAGAGGCCCGGTGCATGAATTTGTGCGTGGGTCGGGTCCCTTGGCATGGCCTGTGGGGATTGGGCTGAAACCAGCAGCCCAGTGCTACCTGCCACTCCTGCCTGCTGCACAAGCTCATCCTAGCCCAGGGGTGGGCAAACTTTTTGACTCGAGGGCCACAATGGGTTCTTCAACTGGACCGGAGGGCCAGAACAAAAGCATGGATGGAGTGTTTGTGTGAACTAATATAAATTCAAAGTAAACATCATTACATAAAAGGGTACGGTCTTTTTTTTTTTTAGTTTTATTCATTTCAAAGGGGCCGGATCCAGCCCGGGGCCGTAGTTTGCCCATGGCTGTCCTAGCCCCATTGTGCCTGCCACAGGCTCATGCCCAGTCAGTCCTGATCAGGAAAGGCTTGAAGCGCCACAGTGGCACTCGCCAGCTGTGAGCCCTATGTCTGGCGCCCTTCCCGAGGGGTGTGGGGGTGGGGCCAGGATGCGATCACCCTCCGGGCAGGCCATGGGATGCCCTTGCCAGCCCAGGATCTGGATCTGTCCAGTTGACATTTGCACTGGTTGTCAAGAGCAACCTGGTGGCCACTTTTACATCATTTCTTCCTTTCAGAGCATCTAGGGAGGGGAAGCAGCTGGCGTGCCGAGGCTGACTTCCAGGAGGCCAGCAGCACTGTTGGGATCATGCCAGCGGCATTTGTCCATCAGTACCTAGCCCGTTCTCCGCAGATTGGACCTGCAGGACTACTGAGAGAGTGTGTGGCTGCCACTGGGCTGTTGGGCCGCCAGGATGGGTCGTTCAGCTGAGTGGTACTCCTGCTATGGGAACTCACTGACCACCAGGGGGCAGCTCCTGCATTGAGCATCTGCCCCCTGGTGGTCAGTGCACATCATAGCGACTGGTCAACCAGTCATTTGGTCCTTCGGTCCTTCGGTCACTTAGGCTTTTATATATAGAGATATGCAAATGATTTTTGAATGAGAAGCACTACAAAATATCACTGATATCATTTCTACTAAATCCAAAATGATTTGAAACTGGCCAAATGTAATAAATGCTCTTTATCACTGCAAGTTCTATTTATGTTTAAACACTGTATTTTATAAAGTTTTTAATAATAAAGTGACTTCTACCAAAAATTAAAAAAACACATCTTAATAATGGAATATTATTTAGCCTTGAACAGGAATGAAGAACTGAAACATGTTTACAACATAGACAAACCTTGAAAACATTATGCTTAGAGAAAGAAGCCAGACACAAAATATCACATGGTGCATAATTGTGTTTACATAAAATGTCCAGAGTAGGTAAATCTAGTAGAAGCAGAAAGTAAATTGGTGGTTGCCTAAGGGTGGGTCAAGAGGGGATGGGAAGTAACTGTTCATGGGCACATGGTATCTTTTTGGAGTGATGAAAGTGTTCTGGAATTAGATAGTGGCAATTATTGCACAACCTATAAACCACTGAATTACATTCTTTAAGTGGGTGAATTTTCTGGTATATAAATTATATTTTAATTTTTAAAATAATAACCAGATCTTAAATAAAAAAACTCTGATCTCAAAAAAATGATCAAAATGAATACAAACTTTAACTCTGTAAAGTTTAGCTCTCTCAAGTTACCCAGTGAGAGTTACTCAATAGTTTATAAGTATGGTTTTACTAAAGAATCTCTCATTATGTATATGTTAATACTCTAATTTGTAAAGAATTTGACCTTATTTTATTTTACAGGGAAGCATAGATTTACTTCAAATTACTTATACTTGCACTTATGAAGATCAGGAAATTTCAAACTCAGAAATGATTTCTTCAAAGAAAAACTGACAATTGAAAACTTATTATAGTCTACTAGAGACCCGGTGCACGAAATTCATGTGGGGGGGGGGGGCAGGGGGGGCCTTAGCCCGGCCTGCAACGACGCAAGTGTTCCGCGCCCAGCCTGGCCAGAGGCCCTCCGTGGCTGGGTGTGGAATGCTTGCCTCGTCGCCGGGGCAACAATGCAAGCATTACCCCACCCCCGGCCACTCCGTGCCCTCTGCCCAGAGGCCCTCCGTGGCTGGGGTGGAACAGTTGCCTCATCACCACAGCGACAAAGCAAGTATTCCACAAGGACAATCATGCTGCCGCTCTCAGCTGCCCCCCCCCCCACACCCCCCCCCCCCCCCCGGGACTAGGAGACTCCAGTGGGGCTGAGAGGACTGGGTGCCGCCAGCTTGTGGCTATGGGGGCCGCCATCTTTGTGATGGAATGATGGTTAATTTGCATATTACCCTTTTATGAGATAGTATTTCAATTATTTCAGGGTTTCTTGAGGCTTAACTTAAAACATATGAATTATATCCCAACTATTTGAAATGCTTCTATTTTTTTTGTTCAAATCACAATCATACATCCTTCAAAAACTTAAGTAGAATTGAACTGATGGCAGGTTAATTTTGGAAAGATGATACTATTTAGATAAAGCATACATGTGTTGAATTTTTATTATCACCACTTCAAAATATAATGCATATAAGACATTACTTTCCTATAAATAGGAACACAGAACTCCCAAATTTAAAAAGAAACTATATGTCATTACATTTTTCCCATAAAGACATATAAAATCTTTTTTATACTGTGCTTCAGAATAGGATTTAGGTCACTAAAGGGTATAATGGTATTCTACTTTTATATAGTCTTATTTATCATGTTAGAAACTGTACATGTCTTATCTCATTAGCTGTACTGTAAGCTTCAGGGACTATATGTAAATGTTGATTTTTGGGGATTATGCCCAATGAGAATGTCTTACATACAGATAGGGGTCTAATATCTAATATACATTGAAGATTCATTTAATTAAGTTGCTAGTATTACCCAGTTCTCCATGACAAAGTGTCTCTATATGTATATATAATATTTAGGATTGCCAAATGACCAAAAATTGTCATAAATTTGATAATATAATTATTACATAGATTTCTATGAGAGTTATGACACATAGCTTTATTGTGCATATACATAATCCAAAACACATTAGTACTCACAGTTGTAACCAGGTGTAATATGGTGTTGAGCTTCGAGGCTAGCCAACGTGATGTGAAAAATGATGTGCAGTATCAGGAAGGAAAGACTGGTGAAGCACAGAGACTTTAACAACCGTCCCGTGTGTCCTGAGGGGACAAAAGCACAGAGATTTTGAAAGAACTTAAGATGAAAGACACTCATGCTCACCTTTGTACAGTTCCACATAAAACATGTTTCTATATAATCTATAATGTAAACTGACTCAAGGTATATGAAGTGTAACAATTACCCCTTAATTATTAGTATAAAGATAAAAGCTATCTTACTTCCCTTGAAAAAATTTACAATTAACAATGAAACCACAAAATGAAACCAAAAATTTTCCCCTAACCCAGAAAATTATATAAGAGAGTTCTGTCATCTTTGAAGAAACAGATAATCCCTATCTAATAAAGGTAGTTTCAGAGAGTAGGAAAAAAGGGAAGTTTCCAAAAATATTTGCAAAGATAGATTATTTAGCTTTAAAATTAACATTATTTAGGTTTAAAATTAACATTAATTTTAAACCTAAATAAGTCTAGAAAAGAAAGGAAATTATAAGGCCATTTTACTTATAAACATAGCCACAAATTATTAAAAAAAAAGATATTTTCTAACCAACTGGAACAGCATAGATAGTGATCAAAGACACTTGATATGGATTCCACTTAATATATCACTGGGTATACTGGTCAATGTTATAAGGTAAGAAAAACATAAAGAATTGAAATAACTAGAATTACTTGCAGGTAAACTGATCAAATGGAATTACTTTTAGATAATATTATCTACATAGAAATGTCAATAAATCTACTGCCAATACAAGAATATGATTCAGGCACAAGATCATCTTACAGAAATCAATACAGCCCCTCTACATGAACAATAATCAAATAAGAGACCAAAAACACAACTTAAATTAGCAACAAAAACTGTATTGTAATGATTTTGTCAATGTGTCAGTTGGCTAGGCTACAGTCCCCAATTATTTAATCAAATACTAATCTAGATGTTGGTGTAAATTTACAGATGTGCTAAAAGTCCATAATCAACTCACTGTTTTCACAAATTTTATTTTATTTTTATTTTTTTAATTTTATTCCTGACAGAAACCTGCCCTATAAATTTTGGACTTTCTTAGCCTGTTACATAGTCAATAGTATAAGCCAATTCCTATAGGTTGAACCCTAACTGGTACAAGTATCTCAAAATCAACCTTAATAAAGAAGACACAAGACCTTTATGGATAAAACTATAAAACTCAATAGTAAAACAAATAAGAATACCTGAGTAAATAAAGAGATTTTTCATATTCATGAATCAGATGACTTAATGTGATAAAAAATGTCAAATTTTTCCAAATTTGATTTTATGAATTCAATGTAATTTTAATTAAATTGGTGAAGAAACTTTTAGGCCTTCAACAAACATATTTAAAAATATATATGAAAAGATTTTTTGAAAAAGTCAACAAACTTATTTAAAATATATCTCTGGAAGAATAAAAGTCTACGAATTGCTAGGTCAATTATAAAATTTTGAGAAATAAGACCAAAAGTGGGTGAGGTTTGTGTGTCTTAACAAACATTAAGGTGTGTTATAAACCCATAAGTTAAAACTAAAATAGACTAACAAACAAATAGGAACTTTGAAGGAAGAAAAGTCAAATGGCATATCATATGGAGCTCAGAAAAAAACTATATGAATTTGATAAATATCAAACTTTACTCCTTACATCAAGAGGAAAGAAGAGGCTATCTAGCAAATGAAAAATTGGTTCAATAAACACAGAAAAAAAATGCTGGGTCCCTGCCGCAGAGGTGATCTCCATATGAATAAAGACCTAAATATGAAAGGTAAAATTCTAAGTTAATAGTTGAAAATATGGGATAACTTTGTGCCATTTCTGGAAGATTGCCTTATAAAACAAGACCTAACAACATAAACTATAAAGCAAAAAGAGAGAGAGAGAGAGTTCTAACTGCATTAAGATTCAACAAATGCCACCATAAATAAAATCTACACACAAATGATTAGTTAGGACATCCAAGATGTACAAGAAATTCACATTTAGAATAGATAAAGAATCTCTGCATGTTAACAAGAAGAAAGATATAATACCAAAATACAAAAACCAGGAAAATATGACTGATTCTCAAGAGAAAAGACAATACAGTTAACCTTAAAATCACCCAGATGTTGAAAATAATTTAAAAATATCCATTATAACCACACTCCCTGAAGTAAAGGTAAGTGACCTTAAAAGGAATAGAAAAATCAAAGTTGTCAATGGAGAAATAGAAAGTATTTTAGAACCGAAAAATAACAATATATGAAATTTTAAAATTTACTTGATTGACTCAATAGTAGAATAGAGATAACGAGTGAATGAGTCAGTAAACTTGAAGGAATTAATAGAAGTTATCCAGTATGAATAACAGAGAGCAAACTATTGAAATAAAAATTAATAAGCTCTCAGGAAACTGAGGATCAAAAGGCCTAACATTTGTCACTGTCACTAGAGTTATCAAAGGATAAGAGAAAGACTGGTGCAAAAAAATATAGAATAATAGCTAAAATGTCCCCAAATTTGGTAAAGACATTATTTACCAATAATAAGCTTAGCAAACACCAAATAAGATGAACTCAAAGAAACTACTCAAAGACACATAATGACTAAAGAAAAGCAAAGGTAAAGAAAAACTCCTGAAAGCAGCAAGACAAAAATGTCACATAGATACGCAGGGGACAACTATTTGAATATCCACGTATTTTTTAACTATAAACTATGAAAACCAGGTTACAGAGGAACATCTTCGTTAAAGTTATGAAGGAAAAGAACTAAACTCAGAATTCTATAACCTGTGGACATAATATTCAAGAATGAAGGCAGAAAAGGCATTCTCAGTTGGAGGAAAACTAAGAGTATTTGTAACGAGGATATCGGCCCTAAAAATAAATGTTAAAATAGAGTAGTTTCTTCAGGCTGCAAAGAAATGGTACCAAAGGAAAACTTGGAACTTTAGTCTGAAGAACAACAGAACAGAAATGGATAAAAGATACTGTACACACACACACACACACACACACACACACACACACACACCTAATTACAGTCATGCTCTAATTAATTCCTGGCATTTCCAGAAATGATTTCTATTTCTCTGGTTTCAGAAATATGTTGTGTGTACAGAAATAATTGAGGATATTATGTTGCCCATTTGTTTTGAATACTCACTCTTTTTTATACAAGAAATACAAATTATCCAAAGATATGTCACCTAATAATCACTCATAATTAGAAACATAAGAAAATTTGGCATATATTAAAAAGGATAAAAAATATGTATGGTTACATTGAGATGATTTGCAAAAATTACCCAGATAGATTCATAAAACAAGCAATTTTGGCCAGAATGACATGGTACCAAACTGTATATTTATACATTATTTTTTATTATTATTACAGTGTCAAAGCAGAAGAAATTTAATATTAATGGAAATAATAAATAAGGAAAGGAAGTACAGTTTTTTTCAATAAATTTTAACTTGGGTTTTATTAATCTACTTTATTTGTGATATATTTCCTCAAATAGAGCTTGCAAAAATAAACTATTGTTGCTTCATAAGTTGCATCTTTTCAATGCACAATGAGGTTAAATATAGACACCTTTTAGCTGGAAAGAGTGTGCTGAGACTTCAAAATAAATTAAGCAGTCAAGTTTTTTTAAGTGGACTATATGAAGTTGCTAATACTAACCATTTGACTGAAAAGATGGGCATTTCATTAATATCAAACTAACATAAATGGAGAGAAAACATATACATCTACTGAGTGTATTTGAAATATCATTGAGGTCATTCCAGCACTCCTAAAGGCCCTTTTTTGCTAAACAGTGAATCACAGAGAGGCTTCTGGGAACACTACAAAAGCCAGCGGAAGAATGGATGACAAGTTCATTTCCCCCAGAGTTCTTCCCGCCTTCACAAATTGGACTAAAAACTTCCAGTGAATGTCTCCAAGTGAAACTTGGAATTCCCCACTGCAGCCCACCTCTTAATCCTCCCTTGCAAAAGCTCAATTTTCTATTCCCAATATTTTTATTGGCACATTATTGGAGCCAACAGAGTTGGGGTTTTTTTTCCTTCTCCCCATTTGGATCTATCATTTATTACCCTGGCTTTAAGTGTTATTATTTAATAACTTTTAAAGTGTTATAATCTCTTCTAAAAGGTTCCCCCATAATGAAACTGACACCACAATCAGAGAGAAAAATGGTGCCAGAGAGAAAAACGATGCTTTGGGTGTACAGAGGAATGACAGCTCAGGGACAGGGTAAGAGACATGAAGCTGCCAACCTCACAAGTGTCCACTCCAACCCCCCTTCTAAATTTATCATTCATGACCAGGTCTCATTTCTTCCTCAACACCGTTGACCCAAAGGGACCTCGAATATTACATACTGTGTATGGCTGACACTAGGGAATATTTATCTTATAATGTTAGTTGCTGTCCTGGGTTGGGTTATCAGGAAACAGACTCTGAGATCGAGATTGGGGTGCAGGAAGTTATTGGGGAGAGCCCTCTGCCACAGAACCAATATGTCCAGGTGGGAAGTGAGGGAGGCAGGACTGAGTCAAGGGAGAAGCTGGACAGAAATGCACTTGTAGGGATCCATCCATTGGTCCTTGGGGAGCTGTGGAGCCAGAGTGGCCTTTTAGAGTCCTCTAGAATTGAGGCAAGGGGTCTGAGCCTCACCCCAACCCCCACATCATTGACCAGAAATTAGATATGAGCTGCCTCTAGATATGGGCGCTACTTACTGGTAGTCAATGGAGTTAAAAACAATTTTGGCTGTGAGCAGTCTTAATTCAACAGCAAGATGTCTCTCATAAGTGCCACAGTAATGAAGGGAACTGGGATGGCACCCCACAAAACCACTGGCTCATCATGTTCTAGACTTTTATGTCCTCAGCTAGAGCATAAACATCCTGTAAGCAGCTTAGCAGGTGCCTCATGGCTAAATATCTATGGGACAAGAAGCAGGCCAAGGGGATGCAGCAGCCAGGACTTACAACTCCAGAAAATACTGGGGCCTGGGAATGC